GTGCATGAGGTCCTCCTCAGTTTCAGCGAGCAGGGTTGTGTCATCTGCATAACGCAGATTGTTGATAGATCTTCCACCAATCCTAACTCCACGCTATGAGGAACACACAGAATATCCAGGTGAAAATTATCCCTCTTCTTCTTGTATTAGACAGGAGGGGCATCTTTCTCTACGCTGAAGTCAGCTTTGTCTTAACATCAACTATATAAGGAGAAGTGAAACACAGTCAACACTCTCGGCACCAGTAACCAGGAAATTAAAAGACGTATTGTGATGGGAAAGTCTGCTGTTATGGACCTATCCAAAGTACTCAAGAGCAATGGTGTCTCTCTGGAGACTAAGGTGCGTCTGATACAGGCCATGGTCTTTGCAATCACTTGTTATGCATCAGAGAGTTGGACAATGGCTAAGGAGGATAGAAGGAGAATTGACGCCTTTGAGCTGTAGTGCTGGAGAAGAGTTTTGAGGGTACCATGGACTGCTAGGAAAACAAACAGATTCATCCTGGGCAGCTCCTTGGAGGCAAGGATTCTGAGGCTCTGTCTGACATACTTTGGACATGTTATAAGGAGGGACTGGTCCTTGGAGAAGGACACCATGCTTGGGAGGGTGGAGGGGCAGCGCAGAGGGGAAGGCCCCCTATGAGGTGGATTGATTCAGTGACTGGAGTAATTGGGATGGGAGTGTCGGAGACAGTGTGATTGGCACAGGACAGAGCAGAGTTTAGGGATGTTGTACATAGGGTCGCTATGAGTCACAAGAGACTCGACGGCACATAATAACAACAACAACAACATATTAGGAGGCCCTCAGTCAGATGGACTGGCACAGTGACTGCAAGAGTGAGCAGAGATTGTGAGATCAGAACAAGATCACACAGGGTTCCGTTCTGTTGTACTTAGGGTCACTGCGTAGGAACCTACCCGATGGCCAATAACAATAACATTTTAGAAATAACAGCTGGGGGCAAAGGGACCAAAGGGCTCAAACGCAGAAGCGATGGTAAGAATGGTGCCGAACCTGGGAGCATTTCACTCTGTTACACAGAGTTGCCACACATCAGAACCAACTCCATGCCCCCTCACAGCAACAACAATGTAAGAAAGGAGTCCCAGTCACAGGTTACAATTTGGTTTAGGCATTTTAAACATTTAAAATAAGTTTCCCTGGGATTATAAAGCGTGAGCAATACATGAAAGAAATGGAAAGTGTGAGAATAAAACTCAAATAACCAGCCTTATAATAAACCAAAACCAAAGCCATTTGCTGTTGAATTGATGCCACTCATAGAGGTCAAAGGATGTAAGACCTCACACTTCATCAAACTTTGCTTCACTCTCTTTTTCTAATTATGTCCCTTGAAATTCAGAAGTCTCAAAGGTGTATTTTGATGCTACAAATTGATTCACAAAGACATGATGCCTCATCTAATTCCTCAGATTCATCACAGACACACTGGGAAAAACATTTTTTTCACTAATGTTCATTTACTTCCAGTCAAAATCTTACTTTCTACACTGTCTGTGCTTTCTGTTATCAGGGTCTATAGTAAATGTTTAGGGCTAATCAGGCTAACAGTCATTGGTTTTCACATTAATATCTAAATATTTCATAAATGTCCAAAGTATGTCTTTTCCCATCAAGTCAATTCTTAGGAAAGAAAGTATAGTAGAAAAATAACAAAGAATGAATGAACTTTGGTACTTTTAAAGAAAAAAAAATCATTCTTTTAACCTAGTAAAATGTATCCTCCAGGTATTAAAGTGAAACTTTCACAATTACCTCTGAAATGTAGCTTTAATTAAAAAGCAAGGAATACAAGCAATTCCATTAGCCTTCAGCCTTTATGAACCAAACATGTTCAGGCTTAGAAATAAATTAGCACTATTTAAATATATACAATGATAGGTAATCATTGCACTTAAAACACACATAATCAAGCCCTTTTATGGTGTTTTAGCCTTTAAAAAAAGACAAAATGATTTAACAGAGAACAAATTAAACACGACATTTAGAAAAAGAGATTATGTTTACCTCTGTTGGTTTGTAGCAGTCTACGAGAGCTTCCTAGGATGAAATACACAAAAGGTCAGTTTTACTATTTTACAATTGTCATTTCTACATAAGATTAAACATCCCTTTATCTTTATAGTAGTATCATTTTAAACATGGTAAATCAAGATTTCTTATTGACTACTTAGAATCATACCTTTTTTTCTTTTTATTTTATGTGTGTGTGTGTGTGTGTGTGTGTGTGTGTGTGTGTGTGTGTGTTTGTGTATGGTCAAATGGGATCTGACTGGTACAGGAGGAGATTGTCCCTCCTTCTCCAGCAGAGCATCTGGTGGATTCAAACCACGCACCTCTGGGATTACAGTGAAGCTTCTTGCCACTAGGCCACCAGAGCTCCCTTTAGAATCACACTTTTTAACTGCAGCAGCAGTTGATTATTAAAGATATAAAAAGATGTGTCCTTCATATGCAAGAGTATCTTGCTTTTCAGAACACACTCACATACATACAGACACATCCCAAAATTGTATCTGAATGGAAGTTGATAGCTTGCATCATTATACAACAGAAAATGAAATCTGACCTTTGGTGGTCAGGCTGTGGAAATGGGGAGAGGGTAATGGTAAACACAGCCAAGGGGCTGCTATCTGACAGACCAGAGGCCCAAGCCCACCCTGAAACGCCTCATTAAAAAAGGCCTGGCGATCTTGTCCCAAAAGATCACACCATTGAAACCCCTTCAGGGACCACACTTCACCCCTACACACACGGTGTCTTGGTGAGCTGGAGTCCACTGCATGCACCTGGTTTGGTTCCAGTTGTGGTTTGCAGGGAGACGGGACAAACAAAACATCTTATATTGAAGATACTCTTCCACAGTGTCCAAACCCTACCGTTTCCATTTTCCTTCTAATAGTTGAGTGTAACCCAGAGAGGCCCAATTAATTTTAAGGCAGCTATTTGTGTTCTCTCTGCCAATCTGGCACTTCCTTCCTTCCTTCCTTCCTTCCTTCCTTTCTCCCTCCCTTCCTTCCTATTTATATATTTATTTTTATATATGTATTTATCTAAAATCTCACTCTCTCTCTGTTTCTCTTTCACACACACACACACACACGCCTTTCTTTCATCTGACAACTTTGTTAATATTAAACTGGATACCCCTCAAGTCTGGACGGGGTGTGAGAGCTGGCTATGAGTGCAGTGACTAGAGAGAGGTCAGTTTGATCAGGCTTCGGCCACACAGCAGTGGTGACATAGCCTCCACAGGACTCCTGGGTGTTGCCTAGCAATGAGGACACCGTGAACTGGGGACAGCTAAGACCCGTGTCAAATTCCAAACTGTGAAATGTTTCCTGTCATTACATTTTCTACAGACTTGGAAAAACATTGCTATTGAGCTAATTCCAACGTATTCCAGAGGCTGAAACAGAAATCCCTTACCAGGTATGAGAGGCTGTAGTCTTCACAGAAGCAGACAGCTGCATCTTTCCCCCAAGGAGCAGTTGGTGGGTTTGAACCTCCAACCTTCCAGTTGGCAGCTCAGCCCTTAATCATTATGCCACCTGCGTCCTGTTTTATAAAGCCTCATTTAAAAAAAGAAGAAAAGAAAGAGAGGAAAGAGAGGCAGAGAGAAAGAGAAGAAGAGAGAGAGAGAGAGAAAGAAAGAAAGAAAGAGAGAGAATCTAAAGGGGAGGGCGAATTCTGGTGGCCTAGTGGCAAGAAGCTGCACTGTAATCCCAGAGGTGAGTGGTTCGAATCCACCAGATGCTCTACTGGAAAAGGAGGGGCAATCTCCTCCTGTATCAGTCACATCTAATTTGACTGTACACACACACACACAAACACATACACTTTTAAAAAAATCTAAAGAGGATCCTACTATCTCCCAAGTAATGATACCATAAGGAGAGAAAAAAATGAATCCTTATGCTCAGTTTGTTCACCACTCAAGGGATGTTAGTAACGATTAGCATATTAAACACATTTAACCATTAAAATATGCCTTCGGGTTGCCTCTCTCCTTCATTGACCATTGGTGATAATGAACTACTATTGACAGTAAGTATCCGTGAGCATTAAGGATATTGACAGCCAAAGGCCAACTGGTTTTACTCAAAACTCGCTGCCACCAAGTGGTGACCAAATCCGAGTTGACTCTCAGGTTTTCAGAGGCTGTGAATCCCTGGGGAGCAGAGCCAATAGTGGACTCAATCCACAGGAGCAGTGCCTTTGGGTTCGCAGTGCAATTCCCTCCAGACTCCGTCCCCATCCCCCGGGCTCTTTAATGGTTTAATGGTTTTGTTGTTATGCACCATCACCTTGGAATTCACACATAACCAAATGTCCAGCAGGTTTTCAGGGACTGTGAATCACACAGGAGGAGACTGCCCATCTTTCTCCTGTGCAGCTGATGGATCTGAACTACTTACCTTTGGGTAGGCAGCGCAACTGTCTACTACTGGGCCAGTACAGGTCCTCTTCCCTGGTTTTAGGGAATCCCAAGTGTAGACTTTAAAATGATAGATTTGAACTGCTCTGGAATAGGAAGTAGTTTACTACTCTGGGCTAAGGAAGCACGAGGCATCTCAAGCCCTTCGTACCAGAACGCTGTAAGGTGAGAATCCTCAAGTGGGAAATATTTTCTTACAGAGAATTCTGCTCTACGCAAGCTTCCCAACAACTTCAGTTTATGAGATGCAATGCCAAACTGTTAAACCGATGTGATGGGGCAGAGCCTGCCCCCTTTCCTAAGAGACTGGAGAAACGTATGCTAAGAACAGGCTCTGCTGCTTTATCACAGAGACCACTGATTGTGGAGCCAGCACCCACAGCTTCCCCTTAGGGACGGCTGATACCCGAACCCTGTGCCAACACGGCCACAGGGCAGAGTCCGCTCACGTCTCAGACCACACGCATAACAGTAGTCGTTACAGGAAGGCTGGAGATGTTGTGAGCTGCTCACCTGTAATTTCGAGGCCCTCTCTTCCTCACTGTCTGCATCAAGCAGATCGTCGATGTCAATTTCTACATCTGGCATTTCTTCTTCCTGAGGAGCAGAGAGAGGCGTTTGATCAGTAAGGAAGTAAACAGTGCTGAACTAAGCAAGTGGCTGGCTCATCAACCGGGGTGATGGCAAAGTGAGGAGAGGGAGGAGAGAGGTTAGGGAGAGAGGGAAAAGAGAAAGATGGTGGAGGAAAAGGCAAAGGGGAGAAGAGGAATGGATGGAGAGAGGAAGGGAGAGAGGAGGGGGGACAGGAAAGACGTGGTGGGAGGAGCAAAGACTTAAGTCACAACTGCTGTAAAAAGTCATCTTTCCAGAGGTACACAGTTCGAATCCACCAGATGCTATCCACCGGATGCTCTGCTGGAGAAGGAGGGGCAATCTCTCCCCATACCAGCCAGATCCAATTTAACGGTACACGTACAAAAATAATAAAACTAAAAAAATTTTAAAAAACTCAAGTGATCGTTCAAAAAAAATCATTTTCCACTTTTTAGCAGAACACTGGACTCTTGCGCACAGAAAGCAGCATGGCAGTTAACAGCGCTGAGAGCTGCAGTTGGTGACGACCAGTTCTGCAGCCCAGGGTCCCCAGGAAATTATTCCCACTACAGAGTTCACAAAGCAGAGCTCCGTCCAGGGCATCACATGGCTGCAGCACGGGCACCGGTGGCAGAGAGGATGTGGGGTCCACCTGAAATAGTGTGGGAGGCAGGAACCTGAGCTCTGAAAGCAGAATCGACCCTGTTCTACTCTGAGAACAGGCAGAGGAAGAAGGAGGAGCCTCAAAGAGAAGCTACTAAGAGGGTCTCCTCAGGGCGTGACATAAGAACACAGGGTTCTAGGGAACCACACCCCGTCACACCACCTCTGAAGCCAGCTCAGCCCGGGAGCCAGAACCCCTGCTTCACTGTTTGAGCAGGAGTCCCTGTGTGAGGCACACAGTAACACAACCACCTGCTAACTGAGAGGCTGAGGGTTTGAGTCCACCCAGAAGTACTTGGAAAGAAAGGCCTAGACATCGATCTCCACAGGGTCACAAGCACTGAAAACCCTTTTCGGGCAGTGTTACATTCACACACACGGTTCACCAAGAGTTGGAGTAGACTTGGCAGAAATTGTATTTCTGTGTTTCAACCACATTTGAGTTTTTAATACCGGCAACCAAAGGCACCTAGTAGAGAAAATAGAGCAAGAAGGTCTAACTGGAAAGCAATGACCTCCACCGCATCGGGACTGTCTTCTTCCATCACTGTTGTTGCTGTTAGGTGCCGTCCAGTCAAATACAACTCACAGCGACTCTATGGACAAATGATCTGAGCTCTGTCCTGTCCCGTGCCAACCTCACAATTCCTGACACACTCAAGCCCTTTGCTGCAGTCATTGTGTCAATCCACCTGGTTGAGAGCCTTTCTCTCCTCGCGGGCAGGGCAGAAGGCAGTGGTCATCCACTGGGAGAATTCTCTTCCACACAGGAGATCTGAATTCTTAGTCAATGTTCACAGCCACCACCCTGTCAGGAGAGGGTTGTATGCTGCTGAGCTGCTGATCAGGCGTCTGTGGAGCTTCCAGACTAAGACTAGGAAAGTAGGCTAGGCGATCTATTTCCATGAATATCACTCAGTGAAAACCCTATGCATCTCAAGAATCTGTTCTCATCGTGCTTGGATTTGATTAAATGGGCGCTTGTGAGGAAAGGCCGGGCTTTCGACAGAGAAGAGCATGGAGAGATCCAAGCTACAATATGCTGTCAGAACACGAGGCCACTTCCCCCAACCCATGAGCCTCCTTGGTCATCAGCCCCTCTCCTCCTCCAAAAAGCTGCCATTCTCAGGTCCACTATGCCCTGTACCCAGCCTCCTGATTTTTAGTATATTTAAAATCACAATGGAAGGAATACGGTGGGGAGGAGGGTCATTAAGGAGTCACAGGGAAACAGCTGATTAGCTATTGGGGGTTTTCTAGGTATGTCAGACAAAACTCAAGCTCATTGCCATAGACTTGGAATCAGCTCATAGCTGATCCCTCCGCGTATTTTCAGAGGCCCATTAGCAACATCATAATAGATGGTGGAAGATCTATTAACAATCTGCGTTATGCAGATGACACAACCCTGCTTGCCGAAACTGAGGACGACCTCATGCACTTACTGCAGAGGGTCAAGGACTGCAGCCTTCAGTATGGACTGAGGCTCAATGTCAAGAAGACAAAGATTCTCACCACTGGACGAATTAGTAGCATCAAGATGGATGGCTAAGAGATTGAGAGTGTTCACAGCTTCAGTTTGCTTGGCTCCACAGTCAACA